GTGTGTGTGTGTGTGTGTGTGTGTGTGTGTTTGACTGAATATAGATTTGTCTCTGTTGCTGTCTTCTAAGGTTGTAAATGTATAAGAGATTCCTGAATGTAAAAGTGTTTCCAAATATAACACTGCTGATGTCAAAAGAAACTGCTTTTCCTTCTCTGGCTATGATAACAACTGGAGGCCCACAGGTCTCCTCAGCTGTTTCTTCTTTTTTGTTGTCAAATCATCTGTGTTCCTGGGTTCACCTCATTCTCATATGTGAAGGAAGGAGCCAGAGTCCTTACTGATTGGAGGCTGTGAGGCATGTGATCAGATTTCAGGCTGCTTTTTATGGACTGTTGGGATGGGTCTTGGTTTTCTAGGTCTTCTGGTGGAAGTGACAGAAGTATACTCCTCTTGCAGTGTTCTGTAATGATTGGTGAAAAAAAGTGTAGTACAGCTGCCCAAGTGATTGAAACATTATCGGAAGGGAGACAGTTCTCCTTTTCTTTTTTATTCTTCTTTCTCTAGTTGATTCTTTAGTACAGAATGCCTTATCTATAACTCATACTGCATTCCAACAAGGTTGCATTAGCTGTGTGGAAAAGACAAATTTTAACAATGCCTAATTCATTGTATTGCACTTCTTTGTTACCTTTTTAAACTGACCCTGAACTACTTTATCTAGTAGAACAGATTTTTGATGAGCACCTTAATGTATTAGAATTTCATTAAAATTGTTTCTTCAGATGCTGTGGAACTTGTTTCATGTTTAAGGAATAATGAAATGTGTACCCATCCTCACAACAACTACTCCATGAAAGAAGGTAACTGGTCCAAAGTTACCTGTTCGGCTTTCATGCCTAAGGGAGGACTAGAACTTATGATCTTCTTGTTCCTAGTCTGGAATGTTAATCACCATGTTGATGGTATTGCATTTAATCTTCTGTGCTAATTATTATAAATATATATTCATTTTATAATTAAAATATTGCATGAATTAAACACATAAAGATAGATCTCTTCAGTCCATTCTCTAAGTTTATTAAAAATATGTTCAAATGGGTGCTTCTCCAAAATAAACCTAAGACATATGTTTCTTTGTTGATAATAAATGTATGTGAGTAGGAAAACTTCATGGTAATAATTAAATCTAACAAATCCAGGTTCCATTCAGACAGAGTGATGGTGAGGAGAGGGTGATACCCTGAAATATTATGAAGGTTGTCAGTGAATTAAATATGCTGCCTTAAGTGTCTGAATTAGCTTTGGTCTTTCCTATAGGATCAGGTCTTCATGCCTGAAGTATGATGTTAAATCATTATTTTGAATTGTCTGCATAGACTTCTGCTATGGGTGGAATGAACAAAGTAGATAAAGTTCAGTTATTGTAATGTCTGTGTTCATACTTTTGGGCATGAGTACCTTTGAACTATTAACAGCAATGCAGTGAAGTTCCCCAATTATCCATAGATGAGCAGATGCCAATATTGCATGTATCTGTTTTGGAAAACACATAGTTACTTAAGTTTGGATTCTTTAACCAAAGTTATACAGAGCATGGAACAATAAATTGGCCCCTTCTTTAATCTTTAAATCCAAGAAAAGGCATTTTTGAATTAGTAAAACCAGACAAAAATAAAATACTGTTATTTAGTACTATTTTCAATCTAAAACCACTTTACTTTTAAAACATGAGACATTTTATGTTTAGTTTTTGAGAACATAGAACCATAGAGTTGGAAGGGATCAGTTAGACATTTGAACGTAAATTTATCATAAGATAAACATGTGGCTAAAACAAATTGAAAAGTGCTAATGGGCAGGTAATTTTCCTTCAAAATATCAGACTAGTAAGAATTTTATGTATTATTCTACTGTATAAGGAAAAAATATCAGGCTAAGTTTTTCAGTATTTCTTGTTTTGTTAGAAATGGGTAAAAAGGAATAGCAATGACAGCAACAACAACAATAATGTCATTTTCCCTGTCTTTTCAGATTTTGACATCTTAAAACCAGAGTCCTTTCCCCAGTGGTTTGTTAGGTGAATATTCCTAATTTTTGAGCAAGGAGGTCAACTTTGCCATCTGGTCTCTGTGAAAAGCTGTATATGAAATACAGTCAGCTTTGAATCTAGAAGGCAGTATTTGTAAGACAATGCTGTGTAGGCCACAAGCAGAAACTTCTGTAAAATACTTTGGAATAGTGTAATACAGAATACTTTCTATATATTGAGTTTTACATTCTAATCTGAACTAGAGTTATATAGCTAGATTACAAAAGTATATGCCATAATAAAGGTCTTTGAAATGCTGTGAAATTTTGTTTTGTGCTTCCACATGATAGCTTTCAGTAGTATTGTTTCAGATTTCAGATTTTTTATTTATTCTTCCAAGAATGTTATTTGTAATCTGAAACTAAGAAGAACCATTTAACCACATACAGTGGGGAAAAAAAGTATTTAGTCAGCCACCAATTGTGCAAGTTCTCCCACTTAAAAAGATGAGAGAGGCCTGTAATTTTCATCATAGGTAATTTGCAAATAAATTCTTTAAAAATCAGACAATGTGATTTTCTGGATTTTTTCCCCCATTTTGTCTCTCATAGTTGAGGTATACCTATGATGAAAATTACAGGCCTCTCTCATCTTTTTAAGTGGGAGAACTTGCACAATTGGTGGCTGACTAAATATTTTTTGCCCCACTGTACACTACATTCTGCACTGTTTTTTTTTAATTTATTTTTGTAAGCATATCTGTCTAAGCAAGCCTCATTTGCAAATAAATTCTTTAAAAATCAGACAATGTGATTTTCTGGATTTTTTCCCCCATTTTGTCTCTCATAGTTGAGGTATACCTATGATGAAAATTACAGGCCTCTCTCATCTTTTTAAGTGGGAGAACTTGCACAATTGGTGGCTGACTAAATATTTTTTGCCCCACTGTACACTACATTCTGCACTGTTTTTTTTTAATTTATTTTTGTAAGCATATCTGTCTAAGCAAGCCTCATTTGCAAATAAATTCTTTAAAAATCAGACAATGTGATTTTCTGGATTTTTTCCCCCATTTTGTCTCTCATAGTTGAGGTATACCTATGATGAAAATTACAGGCCTCTCTCATCTTTTTAAGTGGGAGAACTTGCACAATTGGTGGCTGACTAAATATTTTTTGCCCCACTGTACACTACATTCTGCACTGTTTTTTTTTAATTTATTTTTGTAAGCATATCTGTCTAAGCAAGCCTCTTGCTTGTTTGTAGGTGACCAAATACTTATTTTTTGCACAATTGGTGGCTGACTAAATATTTTTTGCCCCACTGTACACTACATTCTGCACTGTTTTTTTTTAATTTATTTTTGTAAGCATATCTGTCTAAGCAAGCCTCTTATATGCTTTGTAGACTGTGAGATGTGTAGAAATCTGACAGTTGCAGGTGTCTAGTTTTG